CAAAGACAAAGACAGAGGCATATAACGAAAACTTTTGTTTGTTTCATATGTTTATGTTGCGTCCATCGTTAAATCGACAAGAGCTACACGTATAATACGATGAGTATAAGATTTCCGAAAAAATAATGTAGCATGCCAAAAATTTCGTATTATAAAACAAATAAGCTATAGTGCGTTCAACAACAGATGCTTTGCTTTATCTAACGCGCTATAAAATCACAAAATCGAAATGTAAGATAAAAAGTGACTTTTACGATGGAGAACTTGAAAGAAATCTTTTCAAGTAATTATATGATCTATAAATGTAATATTTTCAAAACATTTCAAAGGTTCATAAGATATTACTCTCAGTCTCCGAAATGTATAACTTGCAGATGTTTGATAGAAGGTCTCCCAATAAGCTATGCGAGAATAATCTAAAAATAAATAAATATCTCTCCTAACTTCATATATTTTCAACAAACAGAAGATTAATTAAATCATTCAATGTTATGACTTTAGATTACAGATCATTGAAAACAGCAAAACAGATATAATGATGACGAATTAAAATTTTTTTCGATTCAACATCCTGTAGCAGAAACATATATATCAGACAAGAATGAGACAATTTACAAAAGATATTATATGAAACAGGTCTCACTTTATACAGCCTAGTGATCAATTTACAAAATTCATGCAGAACTATTTAAATAGTTTTCTCTGGAAAATTTTTCTCTCAGAAATTGTCATTGAGTGACAAAGTTTTACTTCGAAGTAGAAAACAGTAATATAATACGAACAATTTTCCAATGAAAATATCTGTTACAATAGAATACTTGATCATAAACGAATCATATTGCTTTCTATTTTATTTTATTGTCATATTTTAAGAATTGTTTACATTTATTTTTATTGAAGTCAACAACATAGAATTAAATTTACAATGAAGGAAAATATTGGTAAACATCTTTTGAAAATACTCTCGGCACTTCGACAATTAATCGTTTCACTTTAGAACAATTGGATCGTGTCGCATCTCTTGTAAAGTTCATTGTTGCACTTTTCAATTGATAATAATTGACTTTTAATTCAGTTAGATTAGGTAGATATGTTTTTGTTTCAAGTAGAAATTGCACAACATAATCTATATCGACATGCATTATATCAAGTGATATTATATTAGGATATTTAATAATTGAGTAAGATGAATTCTGATCAAGTTTCCATTTACCACCTTCCCATGTCTGACTTCTTTCATTCTCCAAAGAGAAATGTTTAAGCATGGGAAAAGCTCGACTTATTCGCATAAAAAATTCATGTTTCATTGAAATAACATCGTAGGCAGATAAGTGAGTTACAGTGTCAAATACAATAGTTGGAAAATGAGTTGTAATCTTTTCCAGACGAGTAAATATGAATGGAAGTGAGTAAATATGACATATAGCCTTAAAACCACCGTTGAAATTATCTATGATACAAGACGTTTGTCCATATTTTATATTTGTAAATGTTTGCTGAATATCATCATAAGATTTACGATGAACTAAATCAAAAGTTAGATTTTCTGAACTGATATAAAATATGAATGAATGAAGTTGAGGCATATGTAGAAGAATTTCATTTTGAAGATGTGTACCATCGACAAATGCACTTCGACTACGAGTACGAACATACAAAGTTAACTTTTCGAGGTGCGTCATGCGACGAAGAAGTGGTACAACAGATTCATCATAATCCAAAGTAACATAATAACTTGTTAATGAGAAACACTTCAAATTATGTAGATCACACTATAAAATACAAAAAATATCTTTCGAACATATATTTATCAGTTTAGTTAAGATAAAAAATTTCTGTGAAAAACTGATCGAAAAAGCTTTACTTATTTTCAAGTTTGTTTAATATTTGTTCTATTTCATCTGATATAGAATATCTAATAATTATGTCTAAAATCTATAGTAAACATTTATAAACTTCCTAAATATTGAAAATAGTAGATAGTTTTTATAAGCTAATTATCAAAATAACAATCATCAAATTAAGATTTTCACAAGATTATACGAGACTTTGAAAGTAAAATATTATTAGATTTATGAATATTCATGAAAATATTCATCTGAATAAAATCGAAAACAACAATAAGACATATGTCCAAAGGTAGAAACATCGAAAATCAAAGTAGATATATCATTCATCTTCATTATCACTCGTACGTCTCCCCGACTTCCATCCCCTCATTTTTTTTTCGACATATTTATTTTCGACTAAATTCAGGTATACCGCATGAAATATCCTTAATATAGTTAAATAAAATAGTTCTCCTTTCTACAATGCAACTATCATTTTTACAGACATTACACTTAAATACAAAAGTTTATTCTTGAAAATATTTTTATCGATGTTTCTACCCTAAAGCAGTATGATTTATTTCAATACTGATATCGATATCTTTTATCCTGTTATATTTTTCAATCTAACGAGTTTTATGTGATATTATTCTCTCTCTCTCTCTCTCTTCATATTACGACGATCAGAGAGTTGCTGTGAGCAAGGAGAAGATGATCAGATAGATAATGTTAAGAAATTTCAGTTATTTCATAGATTAAGGAAAATTTCTTGCGTTTTCTAGTCAAAACAAAAATAAAAACAATTGATTAGTTTGTGTAACTATTAGAAAAAACAATTCAGTCATCCAATTTGTTCCTTGAATATTTAAAAAATCGAGTAATAGGAAAATAATAGATCTCTTTATTTCTAACACTTTGACAATGATAAAAACTCTAATATTCTATTCCCTATTCTATTCTATTCTATTCTATTTTGTTAATCATTCAATGTCCTAACATTAATATTAACATTAATCATTTAATCATTTAATCATTTAATCATCAATATTATCAATTAACTTTAAACAACAACAAAATAGTTATTTAAGAAGCTTTACCTTATTATGATGGATCAATTTAAGATTGAAGATATAACGAATTTCAACGATTAATGTGCTTAGTTGTTTGAGTCGGCCATCAAGTAAATATAGACAATCTTCAAAGTGAAACACATTTATACATAATACAGTAAGAGTTGAAGAGAAATAAACAGTTGCTGGTAGATAAGAAATTGACAAATGTGGATATTCGTGAAAAGATGATGAAATAATTGTAAAATGTTTTAGATTTTTGAAAATAGCCAATATATGTCCATAGACATTTCTAGTATAAATATCCAACCGCATTTTACTAATATATTGATCATTATTATGAAGAATAAGATCTGTTATACGATGTTGAAAAATATGTCGAAAGACTGAGTTATCTAAATAAGAAAAAAGAAAAAAGAAAATTAATTTCAATCATTTTTTTTTATATCGATTAGTTTAGAGCATATTAAGTAATTACCAGTAAAATAACGAAAAAGTTTATCTTGTTCAAAATTGAACAATTCTAAACAAGTCAAATTTTTATAATCACCAGCAAGAAGAATACGTTCTATAGATGTTCCTTCGATAATGAACTTTTTTATACAATGATCAATTCGAGGTAATATATAAATACAAAATCGATCAAGTTTTAAATCAGTGATTGATGATGTCGTTACAAGATTAAGAGTGTTAGTAAATACATCATCTTCTAATAAAATATCAAGTCGTTTATTATTTATTCCAAATAAGGAATAAAGAACATCAATATTATCAAGTTTATTTAATATGATAAGCAATATTTCATTGGGTAGATCAAGAATATTAATGTCAGACTGTTTCATCTTATTATGACGAATCTCATTTTTCTACCATAGAAAATATACAAATATATATATTGTTTGTTTTTTTTCTTTTTTTTTTCTTTTTTCGTCTAATTTTTCCGTCAACGAAGAATACAACACAACATGTATGACCGCGATATGAAAAAACAAATGTAATATACTGATCGATGTATCATCCAATATGATTACAAAGATACGTTATTCTTCCCTCCTCTTTCTAACATTTATTTATTTTGTTTTATTGTGATCGGTCAACGATATTCATTTACATGACAATAGACAACAACGTCATATTCGCCAAAGAAAAGTAAACATGTCGTCTATTCGAATTTAGAATATACAACGTTGACTAAACTGTAGTCATTAGGGATCAATAATCAATCAAGGAATTTTTCAAACGGATACGATCATGAAAAAGAGTCAACAGTCGCACAACTTATCTTCCACTATAGATTCGTCCTTGTTGATCACCTAAGTAAAGAAACAAAAAACATATTGTCGTTTTATGTGCTTATATAGAAAACTATTTAATGAAAAAAAGACAAAATTAAAATAAATTTAATACTATTTTCTTTTTTCTTAAAAACAAAGTCTCTAACAATATTAAAAAACTATACAAATTTTACAATAATTATCATATTACGACTACTATTTGAGTATGTGTCTATTTAAATATTAATTTTTAATAGAATGTTAATGTTCAATCTCGTTTTCTCTATTCATAAGTATATCGAAATAGTACATAATGATGTTCAATAACCCTCGTACTATCAGTCTGACTTATTTTTCATCGATACTCTAAAATTTGAAAATATTTTTGTGTACTCAAAAAGTGAGTACACTCTAGAATCGGTCAGTATGTCCGGCCGGCCGTTTACACGATAACTTTCGAAAGGAGAGTCCGATCACGATGAAA